AAGTAGATTTTATTTTTTATTTTTTGGTGGGACCAGGAATTAAACTCAGGCCCTTATGCTTACCAGGCAAGTGCTTATTCTACTGAGCCATCTCCCCAGCCCCAATAAATAGATTTTATGAATATGAAAAATGCTCCCCTACATTTGTGTGTATGTGTGTGTGTGGCCAGCTCAGCCCATCAGGGGGCGGGGCTGGCTGGCATGTGGTGCTGGGGGATTGAACCACAGTCCCTGTGCTTTGCTAAGCTTGTTCTAAGTAGGTGCTATAGACCGCTGAGCCATCTCACCAGCCCCTGCTCGCCTACATTTAAAACATTTTATCAGTCCATGTTTGTGATACAGAATGCATGCATCCATTGTGGGGACTTGGTAGATGCACATCCCGCCTCTTAATTCTGCTTTCTCCTCCTCTTCCCCTCCCCCTTCTCTTTCTGCTTTTTTTCCTTTTCATTTGTGCATTTGGTACAGGGACTCACTATGCAGACAGGACTTGTGACCCTCCTCCCTAGCACTGGGATTACAATCGAGCATCACCACACCCAGACTGTTAGGGGCTCCGGGGGCCGGCACGGCATGTGGACTGGGGATCGAACCCTGGCCGCTGTGCTTGAATAGCAGGCACTTAGTCCACTGAGCTATCTCGCCAGCCCTAAGCTAGTGTAACTTTTGAGGAAAATTGGCAAAATTTGTACTGTAAAAATCACTATCGCGCCGGCAAGTTGGAAGCACAGCCACACCTATGTGTACAGGAGACAATGAAGGACACATACGCGAGTCCGTCTACCCCAGCACAGCTTCAGCAGTAAAAGATGGAAAGGTCCTGAACGTTCAGAAGAGGACTGGGCCTCACACCCAGGCATGAGTGCAGGGCTGTGCTTACGGGGAAGGCGGCCCAGCGCTGGCACTGCCAGCCTGACACTGCCTGCATTTCAGGAGTGCAGCCTCCTAAGGGCCAGTCCAGAAGGGCTTGCCTTTTTGTTGCTGTTGCTCTTGGTTTGGAACAGGATCTAACTGTGTAGTTCAGGCTGGCCTTGAGCTCACTAGGTAGGCCAGGCTGGCCTCCAGCTCAGGGTGATCCCCCTGCCTCGGCCTCCCAAGCAGTGCTATCACAGGGTGTGCTGCTGCGCTCGACTGGGATGGCTCTAAGTGTAAGATGCACACCAGAGTTTGTAGACTTGCTACAAAAAAATATAGATCCAAATGCACGTCTTGAATAAATGCTTCAACAGTAAGAAATGTAAAGTATCTCTTTAATAATTTTTATATTGATTTCCTGGCAAAAATGACATTTTGGGTGTATTTAAAATATTGTTCCATCTAACTTTTTTAAAATCCCCTGTAGTACTGGAATTGAACCAGGCCTCTACATTGAAGCCTCCTTTAACTTTTTTTGCTGTGAAGCTGAGTGTGGTAGTGCACACCTGTAATCTCAGCACTGTGGGAAGCTGAGGCAGAGAGTTACAAATCTGAGCCTTAACCACGTGGCTGGACCTAATCTCAGTACAGGGCCTAGCTGGGCCAGGAATGTAGCTCAGTACAAAGGCCTTGGGTTCAACCCCCAGCACCGAGATATGGTCTCCCCAAATTGACCACCAAGTCCCAATCCTCTTTATTTTTTTTTTAAACAGTGGCACTGGCTAGGTGTGATGGTGTAGGCCTGTAATCCCAGCACTAAGGAGGCTGAGGCAGGAGGATCATGTGGAGTTCAAGGCCAGCCTGGGTTATACAGTAAGACCCTGTCTCAAAAAAAGTGGCCCCTGGAACATGCACAAGTACATGTGTGCCAGGCATGGCGCGCACACTTGTAACCCAGCGAGCCGGGAGTTCTAGGCAGAAGGATCAAAGCTCGTGCTGCCTGAGCCTGAGAAGGTACCGAGGGGTGACGGCCCTGGGTGGAGCTCGGCAGTGGCGCTCCTGCGGCCCTGCGCAAGGCCTTGGGTCCATCCCCCAACTGGAGGGAAAAAGGAATAAAAGGTGTGACTGACTCCCTTGAGATTTCACTGAGCAGTGGCTCTGGAGGAAAAATCAAATGGACACATGAAGGTGCATGGGAGGGGGGGGCACCCTGCCCTTTGTGCTCCAAAGAAAGGAAAAAGGGAGCCGTCTGGGCCTGCTTGCTTCCCTATCTCCGGAATGATGCACCAGAGACAATGCTGGCCGCTGCGGGAGACAGCTGCTGCAGTCTGGCAAGGACAGGGCTGACTGAATTCTAAATCCTTTTGTAAATGAGCCAACGTTCCTAAGCAGGGGTGGGGAGATGGCTCAGTGGAATAAATGCTTCCTTGGCAAGCACAAGGACCTGAGTTCAATCCCCGATTCTGCAAAAAAAAAAAAAGAAGTTCCTAAGCATTTTGGACACTTACTTGTTTATGCTATTTACGTACTGCATATTATTTATCCAACCATAATTTTAAAATGTTTAACAGAATGAAAATGTGCATAGAGCCACTAGAGAAATCTGCATGTGCATTTGTGCTACAAAATAGGAAGCACAGATGGCAGAAGTGGTGCAGGCTGGCAATCCCAGCACTCCGGGAGGCTGCATCAGGGGGGTCCCTGCAAGTCTGAGGCCAGTCTGGCCTCCATAGGGCCAAAAAATAAACCTAAAAAATGTGTGTGTGTGTGTGTGTGTGTGTGTGTGTGCGAATGCACATGTGCATTCCTGGGATGTAGCTCAGTGCAAAGGCCCTGCTTGGGTTCAATCCCAAGTACCATGAAAAGAAGGGAGGGAGGGAGGGAGGGAGGGAAGGA